GCTCTGACCCGGCAGGCGTGAGAAAAGGGAAGAAATTCCCACGTTGGGTCTGGAGCCCTTTTACCTCTTGTTGTTTGGAACCTTGAGCGACTATGGTGAGCCCCACGGCGTCCGACGTGCACCCCACCATGGGGGTCAAGATCTTCTCAGCTGGGGTGTCGGCGTGCCTGGCCGACGTGATCACTTTCCCTCTGGACACGGCCAAAGTCCGCCTACAGGTAGGGACTGAGACTCGAGGGAGGGAGCGTGGGGTCGGGACAGAGAGGGGACATTTGTGCTTGAGCTTTTGACGCCCTGCTGTGATTTCGACCCTTGTCTCCTTAGGGAGGATAGATGGCCAAGTTAAAAAGTTGGTTCTGTCCAGGATGGGACGCTTTAGGATTGGAAACTAGAATTTATACCTGGATTAACTAAAGAATCATCAGGGCCAGAGATGGGGGGTTGACTACAACTACTGCCAAGTTCTCCAACTCTAGGGTGCGCCAGGAGGTCAAGCGCTTTCCCTTTTCTTCTTTATTCTGCAGGGTGCATTCCCAACCTGTTGCTTTAGGAACTCCCGGAGAGTTCCTGGGGAAGATGGGGGTGGAGGGTCAGAATGCGCACCGCCTCCCACTTAGATGTGGGGCTGCACTGGGAAGAGCTGCTGAGAGGGAGCTGAAAGCAGCGCAGTGGGGAAATCCGCGAGGACGCTGGTGCCGCCCGTGGCTTTTTCCTCCCCCAGGCAGGATGATATTTCACTTCCTTCTCACCCAAACCTCTCCCTTTCTAGATACAAGGCGAAGGCCCCAGCACTATTCGGTATAAAGGCGTCCTGGGCACCATCACCACCCTGGCAAAGACCGAAGGGCCCGTGAAACTGTACAGCGGACTCCCCGCAGGCCTGCAGAGGCAGATCAGCTTCGCTTCGCTCCGGATCGGCCTCTATGACACGGTCCAGGAGTTCTACACCTCAGAGAACGATAGTAAGCCATGAGCGCTCCTGACAGGAACAAATACCCCAGGGCTAGACTCAGTTAACGAGAGAGAGAAAGAGAGAGAGAGAGAGAGAGAGAGAGAGAGAGAGAGAGAAATAGCTCAGTGGCTAGAACACTTGCTTAGCAGTTGAGAGGCCCTGAGTTCAATCCTAGCACCAAAAACACACTCGCCAAAGAGTAACATACAGGGTAGTGGGCTTCATAACAACTTGGGGGATCAACATTTGAACATTCAAACATGAACTTTAGACACCACCTTCATTGGAGATATTTTAGAAGTATTCTATATTATGCCTATTCTTTTCATTTAGTAAATTTCATTGAACTGCCACTTACCAGAAACCATACAAGATTGTGCATGGTGACAGGTGTCTCTCTAGACAGGAGCCCTGCATCCAGCAGGTTGGGTGGGGGAGCCCGCCAGGTGGACTCCACACTACTGCGCATGCTGTGCTGCAAGTCAGCACAGAACGCTGGGCACAGGAAGAGGAATACTTGACTGAGCCGTGGAGCACAGTGATGCAGGAGTTCCCTGAGGAGCGCCTGAATCAGCCTTGTAAGACCAGCAAGAGTAACACATGCAAGACCTTGAGGAAAGACCTTTCAAGCCACATGAAGGTCATGTGCATGACCTTCACTCAGAGAGGATATCCTTAGTGAGGGTGGGAATATGAGGCCAGAAAAGTGTGAAAATCTATATCCCTCCTTCCTATTATCTTTTCTTTTGCTCTCCATTTATCCCTATTTTAAGGTTACGAAACAGAATTTGAAAGCTTATTCGAATTACAGAGTCACTGATGAGTAGATAGTACTGAACCATAACTTTGTATTTCCTTATAGGAATAAATATTGAGCATCAGGACTCTACATATTTTATTGAAAAATATCTGCCTTGAGCAACATAAGCTAAGTTTTCAAAATTTCAAGCCACAAATCACTTTCTTAGTTTTTTCCTTCTAATTTTTTGTTCCCCAGTAACCTAATACTACTTGAGGTCCACATTAAGGTAGTTTTTTTCATTGGGCTTTTCTTAAGACAACTAAGTCTAATAATAAATATTTTCATTGACCAGAGGAAACCCAAACATCATAGGGACTGTTATTCTCTCAAGGTTGGGAGGCCTTGAAAAACAGAGTTAAATGCAGGAAAGGCCTAAGATAAATACCAGAAAGGACCAGGCCACTGTTTAGATAGATAACATTCACTTTTCCCTTAGAAGTCCTAATTGAAGAGAAAATCAGACAAGCACAGTCTTTTAACTCAACTGTGATTTGATACAGCTTTAGTACATAATCAACATGTGAACAAAGATGAGGAAAATAGAAAGATACATGAATGTAAAAACAGTGAGCACTACAAATTTAAAAGATACATGGATACTTGGGGGTCTTTTTTAAATA